TCATTTACTTCTGCTTGTTGCTGCCAAAGTTTGTGTGCCATTTTGGGTTGCTATAGCTTTTTTGTGCCATCGGTGATGTCACCGGGGAGAGGTTAAACCCCAGATTAGGTTTTCTTTTAAAACTATCTTCTGCAAACCTGGAGGCCTTTAACTATTACATAGATAATTACCCACACCAAATGCATGGGATGGGGATGCAGAACTTGTACTCACACAAACATGTATAAACAAATACACTCACAAAACTGGAATCATACTAAAAAGTTAACATGAGTGAAGACTTCATCAAGCCAGCAATCATAATTTTCTCATGAAATATTCAACTGCAAAGTATTACAGAATGATTCTTCATTTCCTTCTATATATTTCAAAAACAGCACAGATCCTATATTTTATTAAGGGGAATGTTGATATTCTCTGAGCACTTATAATCAGCACAAAGATGAAGACAGCTAGGTAATAAATGGGTGATTCGTCCCTCCATTTAATGCAAAAAAACCCAGGCAGAACAGCAAGATTTCATTAAGATATTCCCTTAAAATCTTTGATGCCTGGTTTTTCATCTTTCGATTCACAACCATCTGCAGTATCTAGTTTCACAGCAGTAGTTATGTCCAGAAATAACAATATTTGTAATTAGTATATTTCCATAATCAGTCTTTTTGATGCCTCCCCTCTCCATTTCTTTTAAACAAGACCAATGCACTGTAAACGCTAGAAAATGGAACCTGAACCTTAAGTTTTCTTTAAAATACTATTCTTATTAATGAAAAAATAATAAGCAAGCTTAAGTTTGAAGGATTGTATCTTTCCATACTATCTGGAACACCTACCACTTTTAAAGCTTGCCTGACACCTACTTTACTTTCTTATAGGTGCTAGGCCAAAACAATCTTTTTACCTAGGCTTCTCATTAGAGGGGCTTATCTTATCAGCTTTTTAATAGCCTGCTTCTGTTTTATGGACAGTTTTTATGCTGTTTGTGTCCATTGGCTTGTTTTTAAGGGTTTGTTTTAACTACAAGCTGCCTTGAGCAAGACTCTCAAGAGGACGCATAGAAATACCCAAAATATGGTGATGAGCAATGAAGTCAAGTAAAAGTTACAGAAATTTCTTCTTTTCTGCATTCTTCCCCAGCTGACATGACATTCATTTCACCCCACCTCTTTGCAGACTACACCTAGGTATCATGACAGATTTACCCTTACTGTTCCATTGGGTTTTACCCCTCTAATCTATCCTGTTACCCCCTCTCAGATGTTTTGCATTCTCTCTCTAAGGAGGAATCCACTTGTGCGAGTGCTTGTATTTTTTCTGCCTTACAAGTCTCATTTCCCAAGACAAAGACATTCTATACTACACCAGGCTATTACAGGATAAGTCTAGTTCCTTACTTGTCAGGACGTAGAATGCACTTTAGTTTGAGATTAACAAGAGACGCTCATGGTCCGTATAAGTGCTTGCAATATTGATCCTGTTTTCTGCCAAAGTAGTCTACCTTTGACTATAGAGTTCTAATCCGCATAATAGGGAGTCATTTTAACTGTTATAAGCAAGATTAATGAGCATTATTATGAGTAACGTACCATGAACAGATTCTTTCCCCAATACTTTTACATAACAACCTAGTCTACAACTTAATACTGTTGCGACTAAAAATACATGTACACAATTCCCTATTCAGTTGGTCCCCCTGCTGTCATTCTCCTGAAGACAGTGCATGACACCTCATTCATACTGTCTGAAGGTTCATCTAAAAATATTCATAAAATATTAATCAGTAGAATTACTTCTAGCAAATTCTCAACATTATTTTTCTTCCAGTAGCTTGCCCAAAATGTCAAACCATCACTACGGCCACAACACATCCTGGCTTTCTCACATTAATTAGCTAAATATTACATTGTTGCTCTCAAATAATATGTGAAACTTTACCCCTACGTTCGCGGGGTAGGGCGGGGTAGAAATACTTGAATTAAAAAATAAATAAATAAATAAACATATGCAACTTGCATAAGTTCCCCCCTCCATCTAGGTCAACACTGTACATCAGCAACCAGGCACAGCTTGGAGTTTATAATTATGTTTTAAAATTATATAAAGAATGTTAATACCAGATAGCTATCCATAAGGTTACATTTGAGTGATGCAAAAACCACACGAAAAACACAATTAATAAGTAGTTAGAGGTCAACATTACAATGTTTAAAGAAACTGAACTCCGGGGGGGGGGGGGGGAGCCCGGGGGGGGGGGGGGGGGAGCATGCAAATCCTCCCAGGATTCACACATCAATGAGTAACATGTTCATGTCATTTCCATATACATAAAATTGTTACAGTGAAACACAATCGAGCGAGAATGACACAGAAAACAGATACAACAACATAAAAGCACAAACAGAACTGAACTTGGGATAAGAGAGCAATTTCAGTTTATAATTATTAAGCATTGCTTCTAACACGTTTATTAGTTTTCTACCATTCCAATCCCACAGCACACCTCCCCCCCCCAAGAGAAACCAGACATTACCATCTTTTTTACCCAGAGGAGAATAATACAGATAAGAAAAATAAACACAGATGAATACTGGTATTTTATACCCAAGGCAAACAGACACAGATTAAAACCAGTCAGGGCTGCACTGTGAATGCAAATCCCACTTCCTGCCCAGGCTGTTCCCATTATCTTCCTCCATCCCCCATAAAGTCATATCGATAAGCTGGTCATAGTTTCAAACACTGTCTTCAGGATGAAGCCAGGAAATATCTTTAAAACTGATCTTCAATTTATTCTAAGTGAATTAATCTTAATTCTCCAGACTGAACAACATGTATAAAAACCTACTTGACTGAATTATTCCTGACAGCCACAGCCATAAAACTCTGTTTAATTATAGGTTGGCAGTTATACTTATACTTATTCTGCTTTCTTAGAACAGGCAGTGTTATATGAACAATAAGACACGTTCTGCAATTGATTCTGACCTTTTTCAATTCCCCCAAAGACTGCATTATGTTAAGGAGAGTAGGTTAAAACACTTTTGAGGGGGAGTATCTCACCAAGCTGTTACGTTGCATTTAGAAAGACTAATTATAAAAACCAAAATAATTACTGACTACATGCAGACATTTTAGAAAGTGCCTAAGCAGCTACATGCTCAACAGTTTTGTTTTGCTTAGGGACTGTGGAACTCCAGACTCTGTTGCAGTAAAGCTTTCTTTGTAATCCACGGTGCCTCTTCCAAGTATCCCAAACTAGTTGAAAAACAGAAAGACTGTATATGTTTTTTTAAATAAGAGTTTCAAGAGACTCTCTAGGAGAGTGAACTAGAGAGAATGAAAATTAATTTGCAATAAGACACGGCAGCTTCAGCCAGGAGTTTGAAGAGCTTTAGTTTTAGATCCGATGTTTCACATGAATGACCCCAACCACCCCCCAGTTCCAAAATCACAGAAAAACTAGCCACCACACAGTCAGTGCAAGGACCACTAAGAAAGACATCATAAAGCGAATGCGCAGAGAATGTAAAGAGCCAGAATACAGGCGGCATGTTTTGAGTGATTTCTGCTCCTCGGGAATTGGAATAGAAATCTTTGTCTGAATTTCTTCATTTGCTTGCTGGAGCAAAGTTCCCACAGGAGCTGTCTCTTGCTTTTTAATATTATCTTCATCCTGTACTAACAGAGGACGTTCCTGTGTCTGCTTTCATGGTAGAAGATCAAGAAAGACAGAGATGAACAAAATGACAGATGGAAAATGCTCAAATGGCTCTTGGAGATGTGCAAGGACAAAATCACAAAAAAAAATTGCCACAGAGTGGTCATAACATAACACTTTCCTTCATTCAATCCTGCGTAGGGGGACCAGACTCCATGGAGAAACAAGCCGCTTTCTGACTGTGTGAACTGGTCCAAAGCTACTAAGGAATCTCTTTATAGAATTCATTTCATATTAACTCTGCTTGGGTGCTAAAATACACCTTTAAGAGTTAAACTGTGGAAATATAAGATTAATATTTTTACATTACCAAAAAAGAGAAACATCCCCATACAAAGTGTATGTCATAACTTCCTATGCTATACTGATCTTCAAAAGGGCATTAGTTCTTCATTAGAATCAATACCTAAACAGTAGTATAAAATACAGTTGAGTTTTGTGGGATATTGCCATGGCAGATAGTATCAAAATTTCTCCTTCAAAAAAGTGCAAAGTATTCATTACCTCAAAAACAAAAATATGCTATACTCATGTTTTTAATATTGAAGTTATAAAAGAATGATTCCCCCCTACACATTTTACTTCATCTACATTGGTGTTTAAGGAATGCATATTTGCAGTACTGTGTGGGGGGAAATGAGGTTAGACTGGGGAGGGGGAAAAAACCCTCATAGGAAAATTTGCTTCAATCCAATCACAGGGTGTTTTCTCTCTCCTTATCAAAGGAGAGCAAAAAAAAGGAGCTATCTATGACAGGAAAAATTTGGCCCTAAGCTCTCTCAATTGAGTTAGTCTTCTTTGATCAGCATGATATTTGGGGACTGGGTCTTTGCACACCCCCAAGTGATGGGTATCAGGGAGAAAATAGCTAGGGGGCTGGGCAGCAAAAAGAAATGATATAGAATGCAAGAGTAACATGAGAGTTAAAACAAAAAAACAGAAAAAAGAAAGGAAGACAACGTAAAAAAAAACAGGGTATAGTTAAACTTTCATAATTGCTCTCTCTCCCGAAATACATGGCAACATATTCATGCAGCTTTGTCAACCAGCCATGCATTGTAAAAAAACAACTGAAAGCTGCAAAAGCTTGCATTGGTGCAAATTCTTTCATGGTGTTAGATCAGAAGGCTGTGAGAGATGAAACTACTTAAAAATGCAGCCAAAAAGAAAACGCCAATCAGCAGCTGTCATAGAGGGTTCTGAGGGGGGTGGTTATTGCCCAGTGCCATTACAACAGCAAAAAAGTCTGCTTCAGAAGCACATATCAAAACAGCAGTTTTACCTCTGGCCCACCAACCTGTCTCTCACAGGACTGAAATGTGGGTTTCTTGACCTGGACCTACACAAAGCATGTAAAATTTAGTGGTCTTGTGATGCAGAATACAAAAATAGAAATCTTTCACTCTCCCCTTCCCCAATTTACAAATGATCACTGATAAAAAGTTAAATACAAGATTTACCATCTAACAGCAGCGAACTGTAGTATATTCTGCCTTCTGCATAAGACAGCATGTTAGCACTTAAGATCCAAATGTTTGCAGAAGTCACTTGGTGTGACTATTGATTTCTTTTGTTGTAAAATCACCCGTCTAATTATTATGGAACCTGACATGTGCACAGAGATGATGGGAAATGGCATTCGAGGAGATTGCTGATAAGAAGGCAAAAGGTAAACATAATGACAGCGACAGGAGAGATCATCTAACCTATTCTCCTTGCTGAAGAAATAAAACGCTTTCAATGATGTAAAACCTGTAATGCCTAAACAGTATCAAGCAGGAAGGTTGCTTTGATCAGAGGCAATCATGAAGAGTCTTCTGTTCAGTTTCACTGTCGTCACCAAAAGTGCACTAGTTCACATTTCATCATTCAAACAGAAGTTTAATTTTAACCAACTGCAACAAAACCTCCCTCATTTCCCCATTAACCAACAGGCTCATGGAAATTCCTGACTGTGCTGCGACGATTCAAAATAAACTTCACTGTCTTGAACGTTCAATTACAATCAACTGCCACTAAACATTTGAAGATTAGTTATTTAATATTGCCCCCAATTACTGCAATTATAAGTTCAGTGTCAAGTTTGATAATGATGGCAAACTATATAGCCTGATGGTTTTATTGCTAGTACAGGAACACAAATCAAATACCACTGGGAGTGCCTCCATGATAATAAACAGCAACTGAGTAACATACATACATAGGCTGTAAGGGACTCTAGCTCACTAGAATTATTTGCCACAGTGTTCAGCTCCCTGACTTCTGCAGCAGATATGAGCAGGGTTTGTTTTAGAATTAAGCAGTTTGAAAACAGTGACAATAAAATTTTCATCAAAGAACTGGGAACACATACACAATCACAAGACAGATAATGAATTGGCAATGAAACAGTCAATACTTTTGCTTAAATTGAGCTGTCTTGTTCCCTATAGTAAAGTCAGGGAAATCATGAGTTCCTATTAGGTAAAGTACTCACTCCTTCTACTCCTGTAGGGATCTGCCCATTGATGTTCAGGGTCCGGAAGGGAGAATGAGTAGACAAGCGTTTGTCCCATTCACTTGGCCGTGGCTCAGGAACAGATTCCATAAAGTTTTTCTTCAGCTCGCTGATGTTGGCGTGGTGTTTTTTAATTTCCTCTTGAGTTTTATCTAGATCCTAACATTTTAAAAAGATCCAAAACAGAAAACGAGAGAAGACTTTTAAAGTGCAAGTCCCTTGTGCCATCAAATTTGCTGCATTTGGCTTCTTGCTATCTGAACAAACATGCATTGGGAAAATATTTTCTTCTCCCCTCACACTAAGAGGGATGCATATTACTAATGAGCAAAAAATACGCTCCCTCAATAAATGAGTTAAATGGTTTTCAATTCAAAAGTTGCCACTTATATTAACAACAAGCTCTCAGCTATTAATTCAACATGAGTATTTTGCCATTATTGTTGTTCAGTCAATTTTTGATTGATTTTAAAAGAATGAATCCCCAATGCACCACAAATACTGTTAGCATTTTTAAGAGAATGGTCACAGTATCTGTTTCTATATTGTACAATATAGTATTGAACATACCAAAAAGCAGGTTATCCACACACAATTTTTTTTTGCAAAGCATTAGCATAAACTGGTTTAAGCTACACCAAAAATATTTTGTAAATGCTAAAAGAGAAACTTTTACGGTTACAAGGGAGAGGGTGGGGAAAATCAGTAAAATGGTGGCTGACAAACTTAAACTGTGAAAATTGTTACCTCCTCCTTGTATACTGCATGGAATGCAATTAGATTCATTGGTGACTTGAGTTACATGTTTAGAAAAACAAACATACAAAATCCTTTCAGGATCATTCAGAAGGTTGGCAGGAAGTTTGCATGGCTGAATGCTCCCTTATTGCAAAAAGCACTGCTTATCGAAAATGTATCAGGGAGAACTCCCTTGCATGCTAGCAGGGGTCGTTTCGTAGAAAAAGAGCTAGGGGAACTCATTAGCATAACTCATTAGCATATGCCACACCCCCTGACATCACCGGAAGTATGTCATGAGGCCACACCCCCTGAATGCGCTCACCCGCTTTGGGAGAGGGGATCAAAGTGTAATATAAGCCTCCTCCGAGACTTGATCACACCAATCTCAACTCTCTCTTGGGTCTTGATGCCTGCCAGTCATTCCCCCTGCCTGGGGGAAGCCATGTTGGACCAAAATACAGTCCAAACTGCTGCACTTACAGGGTGCATCAAATCGCCATTTTACCCCGACCGGAAGCAGGGGGCGGGGCTTCGTCGTGTGCCCCGCCCCCCGCACCTCACCCGGGGGAACTGTGTTCCCCCGCGTTCCCCCCCGAAATGACCCCTGCATGCTAGTATTCCATGTACTGTAAAGTTTTTATGTAAGGGAATGTTCCACCATGCTATTCCCAACCTACAGTCCTGTTATGGAAAGCAACAGAAGCATACTAGTAGCAAACAAAAGGGGTCAGTTCTGTAGTAGCAGAGATATATTGTTCTGAAAAGACACAAAACTGAACTGAGCTCTGGGCTGGTGCAGGCCAGATGTTTGCTCTGGCTCTGCCCACCAGCTAAGGAGAGTAAGGTAAAGGGATAGTGATCTGGCTTGGAGCTTTTATATTTATTTATACATATACTACATGGCTTCTAGTTTTGCCCTGTCGTTTCAAATGAGGGTACTTTGTAAGAGTGTGGTCTTGAATCTGTGATACATTGCTCAAGGGAGCACACATTTTGCAAACGAAAATTCTAAATCATCAATCTCTAGAACAGAGCCCAGCAAAAAATTGTTGTCTTTCATTAAATCCCTGAATCCTTAGACCACATTCTAGACAGCCTGGGACACCATGGGAGCTCTGCCTGAGGATCAGCATTCAAAGACTAGGTTATACCAATTCTGAGGTGAGAATGCTCAAGATACATTTTCTGAGCATGTAAACTGAATCTTATGTAACATGTCTGTGTGTAAAGTGCAATCAAGTTGGAGCAGGCGTTTGGTTACCCCAGCAAGGGGCTTTCAAGGCAAGTGAGAAGGAGAGGAGGTCTACCATTGCCTTCTTTTGCAGAGTCTTCATTGGTGGTCTCCCATCCACATATTGACCCTGCTTAGCTTCCAAGATCTGACAAGATCAGGCTTTATAGCATGCTGCCTTCCTTCCCTTGATATGTTTCTGCTTAATAGCAGATGACATGTTTCTGCTTAACAGCAAAACTTACACTTATGCCTGCAATCTAGGATATGAGACCTATGTCACTATATCTGCAGAGGCCAGAGCTTATAACATAAGTGGCGAATGGAAAGCAAACTGTAATAAATGCCAGCTTGACCAAATGGGGCCATATTGATTGATGCCCTGAAACAAACATCACAGTTGGGTGCTGACAATGCTAATGAGTAGCTGATGGTCCATGGAATGGGAGGTGTTGGCTAATAATATTTAAAGCAGCACTACTAACTGCAGACTGAAGACAGGTGGTGTCGTTCCAGCCTCAATTTCAGATTATTGCATTATTCCAAACTAGTGTGTGCATGGGGGGGAAATGCACTACTCTACATAGGAACCTGGAATGTAAGACCTATGAATCAAGGTAAGCTTGACATGGTAAAAAATGAGATGGCAAGACTGAACATCGACATCTTGGGAATTAGTGAACTAAAGTGGACAGGAATGGGCGAATTTAACTCAGAAGACCATTATATCTACTACTGTGGCCAAGAATCCCATAGAAAAAATGGTGTGGCCTTTATAGTCAAAAGAGAGTGCAAAAGTCAGTACTGGGATACAATCTCAAAAATGATAGAATGATTTCGGTCCGATTCCAAGGCAAACCATTCAACATCACAGTAATCCAAGTCTATGCCCCAACCACTGATGCAGAAGAGGCTGAAGTGGACCGGTTCTATGAAGACCTCCAACACCTCCTAGAACTAACACCAAAAAATGATGTCCTCATCATCATAGGGGACTGGAATGCTAAAGTAGGAAGTCAAAAGTTAACCAGAATAACAGACAAGTTTGGCCTTGGAAAGCAAAATGAAGCAGGGCAAAGGTTAACAGAGTTTTGTCAAGAGAACACACTGGTCATAGCGAACACCCTTTTCCAACAACCTAAGAGGCGACTCTACACATGGACATCATCAGATGGGCAACACCGAAATCAGATTGACTATATAATTTGCAGTCAAAGATGGAGAAGCTCTATCCAGTCAGTAAAAACAAGACCTGGAGCTGACTGTGGTTCAGATCAAGAGCTACTCATTGCAAAATTCAGACTTAAACTGAAGAAAATTGGGAAAACCACGAGGCCATTCAGGTTTGACCTAGATCGCATCCCTGATGAATATACAGTAGAGGTGAAGAATAGATTCAAGGGTCTGGATTTGATAGATAGAGTGCCTGAAGAACTATGGACAGAGGTTCGTGACATCGTACAGGAGGCAGCAATCACCACCATACCAAAGAAAAAGAAATGCAAGAAAGCAAAATGGCTTTCTGATGAGGCTTTACAAATAGCAGAGGAAAGAAGGAAAGCGAAAGGCAAAGGCGAAAAGGAAAGATTTACCCAACTGAACGCAGATTTCCAGAGAACAGCAAGGAGAGATAAGGAGGCCTTCCTGAATGAACAGTGCAAAGTAATAGAAGAAAACAATAGAATGGGAAGGACTAGAGATCTCTTCAAGAAAATTGGAGAAATCAAGGGAGCGTTCCATGCAAAGCTGGCCATGATAAAGGACAAAAACGGTAGGGACCTAACAGAAGCAGAAGAGATTAGGAAAAGATGGCAAGAATACACAGAAGAACTATACAAGAAAGACCTCAATGTCCTTGACAAACACGACGGTATAATCACTGACCTTGAGCCAGACATCCTGGAATGTGAAGTTAAATGGGCCTTAGAAAGCATTGCTAACAACAAAGCTAGTGGAGGTGATGGTATTCCAGCTGAGCTATTCAAAGTCTTAGAAGATGATGCTGTTAAAGTGCTGCACTCCATTTGCCAGCAAATTTGGAAAACGCAACAGTGGCCACAGGATTGGAAAAGATCAGTATACATTCCAATCCCAAAGAAGGGCAACGCCAAGGAATGTTCAAACTATCGCACAATTGCACTCATATCACACGCTAGCAAGGTCATGCTCAAGATCCTACAAGCTAGGCTTCAACAGTACGTGGATAGAGAACTACCAGAAGTACAAGCTGGGTTTCGAAGAGGTAGAGGAACGAGAGATCATATTGCCAACATTCGCTGGATTATGGAGAAAGCAAGAGAGTACCAGAAAAATATCTACTTCTGCTTCATTGACTATGCTAAAGCCTTTGACTGTGTGGATCACAACAAACTATGGCAGGTCCTTAAAGAGATGGGAGTACCAGACCACCTCACATGTCTCTTGAGAAACCTGTATAAGGGCCAAGAAGCGACAGTTAGAACCGGATACGGAACAACTGATTGGTTCAGCATAGGAAAAGGAGTACGACAAGGATGTATACTGTCACCTTGCTTATTTAATATATATGCAGAGTACATCATGCGAAATGCTGGCCTGGATGAATCACAAGCGGGAATTAAGATTGCTGGGGAAAAGATCAACAACCTCAGATATGCAGATGATACCACTCTAATGGCTGAAAGTGAAAAGGATCTAAAGAGCCTCTTGCTCAGAGTAAAAGAGGAGAGCGCAAAAGTGGGCTTGAAGCTCAACATCAAAAAAACTAAGATCATGGCATCCGGCCCCATCACTCCTTGGCAAATAGAAGGGGAAGTCGTGGAAGTAGTGACAGACTTCACGTTCCTGGGATCCCAGATCACCGCAGACTGTGACTGCAGCCATGAAATTAAAAGACGCCTGCTCCTTGGGAGGAAAGCGATGGCGAACCTAAACAGCATGATAAAAAGTAGAGACATCACCCTGCCAACAAAAGTCCGCATGGTCAAAGCAATGGTATTCCCAGTAGTCATGTATGGCTGCGAGAGCTGGACTATAAGGAAGGCCGAGCGCCGAAGAATAGATTCTTTTGAACTATGGTGCTGGAGAAGACTCTTGAGAGTCCCTTGGACTGCAAGAAGAACAAATCAGTCAATCCTCAAAGAAATCAACCCTGACTGTTCCCTGGAAGGCCAGATAATGAAACTGAAGCTCAAATACTTTGGCCACC